AGACGAATCGGACGCGCGCTAATTTTATGGCGCTGAATCTCATTGGCACGCGCGGTAATGAGCTGGGACGCCACTTTACAATGCCGGACGCATGCGGCGCTTCGGAAATACCCTGTAGAAACTTTTACAGCGGAATGTTTTGTCTGCGTTCCAATCACAACCCCGATAACGGCAGGAATTTTATTGATAAGTTATTACCAACAAACAACGGCTGATAATAACCGAGGCCTCGAAATGCCCACCGCCAGGACGTTCAATCGGTCCACCGCTCCTGTAGGGTGATTAAAGTCGACTGCCCTCCTTCCCTTCAATCTGACCTCCGTCCTTCCCTTCAATCTTCCATCTGACCTCTGTCCTTCCCTTCAATCTTCCATCTGACCTCTGTCCTTCCCTTCAATCTTCCATCTGACCTCTGTCCTTCCCTTCAGTCTCATATCTGACCTCCGTCCTCCCCTTCAGTCTCATATCTGACCTCCGTCCTTCCCTTCAGTCTCATATCTGACCTCCGTCCTCCCCTTCAGTCTCATATCTGACCTCCGTCCTTCCCTTCAGACTTCTATCTGACTTCTGTCCTTCCCTTCAGTCTTCCATCTGACCTCCGTCCTCCCCTTCAGTCTCATATCTGACCTCCGTCCTCCCCTTCAGTCTCATATCTGACCTCCGCCCTCCCCTTCAGTCTCATATCTGACCTCCGTCCTCCCCTTCAGTCTCATATCTGACCTCCGTCCTTCCCTTCAGACTTCTATCTGACCTCCGCCCTTCCCTTCAGTCTTCTATCTGACCTCCTTCCTTCCCTTCAGTCTTCTACCTGACCTCCGTCCTCCCCTTCAGTCTTCTACCTGACCTCCGTCCTTCCCTTCAGTCTTATATCTGACCTCCGTCCTTCCCTTCAGTCTTCTATCTGACCTCCGTCCTTCCCTTCAGTCTTCTATCTGACCTCCGTCCTTCCCTTCAGTCTTCTATCTGACCTCCGTCCTTCCCTTCAGTCTTCTATCTGACCTCTGTCCTTCAAGCATCATCTTGCACTTTCCAACCCAGCCTGACTGTCCCTGGCTGTATTCATTGGATTTCAGTTCTCTCATTAATGGCGGCTCAGCAGCACATGTGGGTGTTAACTTGGGCAATCTGCATGCAAATACAGCATCCGTCCTTCCCTTCAGGTGAGGGGTGCAGAGGTGAGCAGTAAAGGAAGCGGGGTGCAGAGGTGAGCAGTAAAGGAAGGGGGGTGCAGAGGTGAGCAGTACAGGAAGAGGGGTGCAGAGGTGAGCAGTACAGGAAGAGGGGTGCAGAGGTGAGCAGTACAGGAAGAGGGGTGCAGAGGTGAGCAGTACAGGAAGGGGGTGCAGAGGTGAGCAGTAAAGGAAGAGGGGTGCAGAGGTGAGCAGTACAGGAAGAGGGGTGCAGAGGGTGCAGAGGGGAGCGGTAAAGGAAGCGGGTGCAGAGGTGAGCACTGTAGGAAGAGGCATGCTGGGAGTGCAGGGGTGAGCAGTACAGGAAGAGGGGTGCAGAGGTGAGCAGTA